CTTCTATCTAACAATTCGCAAGACACATACAATGCAGAATTGGGAACGACAAACAAATGGCAAATTGGTTTTTGATCTTGGCTTGTTTTGAATACACTATTGATAAATATGTTGGAAAATTACAAAAGAAAAATTTTACAACTAGGTACGCACTTCATACATACATGTACCAGCATGTGTAAAAGTATTCTATTTAACTGCTAGCCAGACCAGACATTTCAGACATTGATCTTTAGCAGAGCTAAGGGTTAAAGACAAGGGATTGCAACTGGTACTGTAAGTAACAGATATAATCTACACGGGCTTTTAAGTAACTTTTAAAGATAAATTTTAGCACAATTCAATTCTGGTACATTAAATTGTCTTAAAAATAACTAAACATTTACAATAGCGAATGTCAACCCCTTTTTTTACACAAGTAACCAAACTACAAATAAAACCTTGTCTCAATTTAAGGTCTTACCCTTAGCTTACTGCATTCAGTAGTGCATGACAGGGAAAAAGGAAAAATATAAAAAAATCCATGCAGTTGTACAAATATAGTGCCCTTTACGATTCTCTCAGTCCAACATGGGTATAAAAATGTTTTCTTTCTTGGAAGTCGCAGATTTACTAAATACTCATTTAGACATGCAAGTACTAAATTTATTTTCTTTTTATATCAAAAAATCCAAAAAGTTGTACAATTATAGTTCCCTTTACGGTTCTCTTAGTCCAACATAGGTATGAAAATGTTTGTAAGTCATGGATTTAATTACACATCTAGACATGCAAGTACTGAATTTATTTTTTCTGTGCTCATATTTTTGAAGTGGCCATGCAATGAATGTCCTTTCAGGTCGTATTTCAACAGAAGCAAGACGTGCAGCACAAAATGAAGACATATGCGTTACTTCTGGTGGTCTTTGTGGCCTTTTTTACGGTTGCTGTAGAAAGTGCAGTGATTGAAAGGTATTTTAATTACAGAAGCAAGATGATTGTTTGATGTAAATGTTTAAAAATGACAAAAAAGTCAAAATATCTCTCAGTTTGCATACAGAAAATATGGGTAGATGGTGTCATTTAGCTTTTCATGTCATACCTTTTATTAGGTCCTTACCAAACGGAGAAAATGGTGCTATGTTTCGGAGGCCACTGAAGCCTGTACTTACATATTGCTGCCAATTCCTGCTACCGTGTTGCCTTTAATTTTTATCCAGTTGCTTGCACATCCACGAGTTATTTGGATGCAGCTGATAACACATCTTGAAGAGGAAAAATATGCAGTACTTTGCAAAGCATCATTTTTCACTATTACACAGGGATATTCCTGGGAACAAGCTTAAGTTAAAATTTATTTGTATTAAGTCATAGTTTTTACCTTTCACTTTACTGCATTTCACTTTACTGCAAGGCCATAGGCTGATGCTATTTCAGAATAAGTCCAACATATTTGGGATAGTTAGAAAACAAGAAACTAGTTGCACTGTTTTACTTGCTTAAAAAAATAAAATATTTGCTTAAACATACTGAAATTTGAGTGTTTATTAGCATTTATTACTTTTCAACTATGTCAGCATTTTACACTTACAGGGTTTCGGACAGAGTAAACTTCAGTTTTCAGATTTAAGGGAATCACCACTCAATCTGTACACTAGAGATTTGATTAAATTGATAACAACCCCTTAAACACTATGTGAACAATCAATTAAAAGAAAAGTGTGTTTTAAAACACCTTGCCCCAATATGCAAAAATGAAGCAGCAGATCTAGGTCACATGGTCGAGTGACGTCACACAAGCCACAGGGGAGAGTGCCAGCATTTTAAACTGGGCTGTTATTATCTACCTGTAAGATATGAGGGTTTTAAATCTTTGTGAAGTCATTTTCCATGCTATTTAATTACGACCATCTTCACTAGTATAAGCACAGATTTGCAATATATAGGTCCATTTGAAAAAGATACAAAAATAAATTTGAAGATATATTCACAAATTCTACTTTTTCTAAACTGGCAAAAAGTGATAAATCTGTTTTTTTTTTTTTTTTTGGTAATTATACAGACATTTTCCAATTCACACCTCGCAGGTATGCATAGTTTTCATATTCAGTTACGAAGGTTTGAGTAACGAAATATTTAAAAATAACAAAACTTTTGTATGATATTAGCACGTTTCTAATATGCCAACAAAAATTACAGTGTTATAGGGGTATCTTAATTTTACTAATGCATCTGTGTACTCAACATAAAGTATATTTATTTGGTGAGAAAGAGAATCACAAGTTTTAATCATGACACATTACAGTCCTGATCATCGGAGCATCGATCATAGATAACTAATGATTCATAATTTACAACATCCACTAGACTTGACCTGATATAGAAGCATTCAGCATTGTGTGACAGCATTCTATTTGAAGTGGAAACAAAAACATTTCTATTATTTTTAAAATGTGCACCAGTAAGAGTAGGTGGGGGAATCCTACACTTTTTGTTCACATAGTATTACACATTTCCCCAAGTGTCTGAGTTATTGAGTCGAGCTTAAGAATGGCAGTGGATATGAAGATACAACAAAGAGTTATTGGATACAATTATATAGTTTTCTAAAGATTGTTGCATTGTAAATGCTTATTTTCTTTTTGTTTAGTAGACCAAAAGAAAAAGAATTAACCATCTAACGACCCCATCTAAAAACAGTATATGATATCATAGTACAGTGTAAAAAGATAGGAATACAGACAGTACATGTCGTTCTCACAGATATGAAATATCATCTAAAAGTATTGTATGACAGAAAGCAAACTTGACAGTTAACATTCAACCATATATTATGCTTTAGATGATAAGATGAGCATTTTCAGTCAAATCATGCTTGGGTACAATTAACAGAGGTATAGATTTAAAAAACATTAATCCAACACTTGTCTAACAATCTAACATGCCTCTGCAAACCTCTTTCGTTGTAAAATTCTTTATCAGTATACATTATTTCATAAACACATGTACCAGCAGACTAGTTGTCATAGATGCTAGGATATAGGGACTGATCAAAGCCTTCAAACAAAAAAGGCATACAGGTATATGTGTAAAAGACACTAGCTTAAACAGTTACAATAGTATTTTTGCTGAAGATCAGTTTAAATTGATCCTATCTGGCTAGAGACGGTGAAAGCAGGAGATGGCCATATGAAGCTATAAATCAGCCATTTTAATCACTAAATTAATGAATTGAACTTCAATTTATGGTCTGATTGATATTAGTTTTTATTCTCCTGATTGATATAAGTTGCTTTGGCACTCAATGCTTGGACTCCGCAAGTGACAAGTAACTGAAAATTCCTTGAACAAATGTTTCCATCTACATAGACGAATATATTTTCTATTAATTAACATTATAATTTTAAAATAAATCAAAAGAAATAAAACTTATGTATTCATAAAATCTTCTATCCTTCCTGCATATTGCAATCATGAAACTGGAGAAAATCACTCTCCATAGTCTCCCGCACATGCAAAATCAGTTTATGTGCAGAATGACAGGTGAGGAGACTTACAGTTCAAAGTTTAGAACACGATACAGTCAGTTACACAAACAGACCATGAAGTTGCAGTTCAAATCAGTGACAGAAAGCATTAATCCATGGCTCCAAGTCAGAAAGTTCAATTTTAAAGGCCTGCATGATTGCAGGGGATTATAAACAATACACGTACCTATGCACCAGCTCTTCTAAGGGCACAGAGTAAACTTTAGTTTTCAAATTTTAGGGAATCAGCTCTCAATCTGTATACTACAGATATGTTAAAATCAATAACAACCCTATCAACACTATAGGAACAATTGATTATAAGGAAAAAAGGGGATTAAAAAATACTCCACCTCAATATGCGACTAGACAGCAAAGCTGGTAAATATACAGACATCATACAGGAAACAAGGCAGCAAAGCTGTCAAATGTTCAGACATAAGCCAGAAAAAAGTGCACAAAATAATGTTTTGGCCTATTTTGATGCACTGTTACATAATGCTTTAAAACAGCATAATCACTCTTACCCTCTTACATTATGTACTACAGGTAACATGGACATTAGAAAATAAGCAACTGATTCAGTTCTATGGAATATAAAAAAGAAAATGCTTATGTGTGAAATATAAAAAATTCACATGACAAAACCAGAATAATTACAGTAAATGTACACTGATCATACTGACTTTTGAAAGCAACCTGCTTCTTTACCAAACAAAGCCACTCAGTAAATTTAAAGTAAAACAGGCTAGGGTTAGCCTGACATAAGTAGGTCAAAATCTAAGGCGAGGCTTGCCTATGCAAAATTAGTGGGAACCTGACTCTCTATCATGGGTCACTCTCTGTCACGTCATACCGGACACATTACTTGCTTCTCCACTGAAAAATTTCCACATGATACAACATCCAGTCAAACAAGTACATCAATTTAGTACATGTTACAGCTGGACAATGCACTTCATCATGGAGTTTCTCATTCCGTCATTTAAATTATGTATTCTGATGCAAGAATGTTTTACACCGATAAAAAACATGCTGGGACAAATAATTTATTCACTACATCCCAAACACTAAAATTTGTTTCAATCTATTTGATTTTAAAACTTGCAATTGTCAGTTTGAAGACTGCTGGCTTGGTTCATGACTTACTTTCCATGTACAAAATGCTATTTTCTCTTACTCAATGTCCATCATTTGACTCATCTCTCCATTTGGATTGATTGTTTAAATTGTCTAAATTGGATATATTAGTGCTCAGGTACCATTTTGATTGCTACCTTTCTTCCTAACATTTTGCTAAACACGTACAATGCAGAATTGGGAACAAAAAAGAAATGGCCAATTGGTTTTTTGATTTAGCTTGTTTATTGAATGCCATTACACTCTTGCTAAATATGTTGGAAAATCAAAAAAAAAAAAAAGATTTTACAACTAGGTGCCCACTTCATACATACATATACCAGCATGTGTAAAAACATTCTATTTAATTGCCAGCCAGACCAGACATTGCAGGCATTTATCTTTAGCAGAGCTAAGGGTTAAATACAAGGGATTGCAACTGGTAAGTAACAGATGTAATCTATACGGGCTTTTAAGTTACTTTCAGAGATAGATTTTAGCACAATTTGCTTTTGGTATATTACATTGTTGTAAAAATAATTAAACACTTATAATAGCAAATGTCAACTTCTTTTTCATGAGTAACCAAACTACAAATAACACCTTGTCTCAATTTAAGGTCTTACCCTTGGCTTACTGCATTCAGTGGTGCATGATAGGGAAAAAGGAAAAATATCAAAAATCCAAAAAGTTGTAAGTCGTGGATTTACTTACACATTTAGACATGCAAGTACTAATAAAATTAATTTTTTTTCTGTGCTCATATTTTTGAAGTGGCCATGCAATGAATGTCCTTGCAGGTCATATTTCAACAGAAGCAAGACGTGCAGCACAAAATGAAGACATCTGCGTTACTTCTGGTGGTCTTTGTGGCCTTTCTTACCGTAACTGTAGAAAGTGCAGTGACTGAAAGGTATTTTAATTACAGAAGCAAGATGATTTTTTGATGTAAATGTTTAAAAATGTCAAAAAAAGTCAAAATATCTCTCAGTTTGCTTACAGAAAATATAGGTAGATATAGGTGTAATTTAGCTTTTCATGTCACACCTTTAATTAGGTTCTCACCAAACATAGAAGATGGTGCCATGTTTCGGAGGCCACTGAAGCGTGTACGTAGAGACTGCTGCTATAGACCCCCATACTGGCCAATTTGTTGCCCTTATTTTTAGAGAAATCTTTCATCCAGTTTGCTTGCACATCCACGAGTTATTTGGATGCAGCTGCTAGCACATTTTGAAGAGGAACAATATGCAGTACTTTGCAAAGACTCATTTTTCACTATTACACAGGGATATTCCTGGGAACAAGCTTAACTTAAATTCATTTGTATTCAGTCATAGTTTTCATCTTTCACTTTACTGCATTTCACTTTATTGCAATACCATATGCTATATAGCTATTTCAGAATAAGGCCAACATCTTTGGGATAGTTAGAAAACAAGAAACTAGTTATACTGTTTTACTTGCTTAAAAAGTAAAATAAAATCTAACTGCTTAAAAATACTGAAATCTGAGTGTTTATTAGCATATCTTATTTATTACTTTTCAATAATGTCAGCATTTTACAGGGTTTCAGACATAGTAAACTTCAGTTTTCAAATTTAAGGGACTCAACACTCAATCAGTACACTAGAGATTTGATTAAATCAATAACAACCTTATAAACACTATATGAACAATCCAATAAAAGAAAAAGTGTTTTAAAACATTCCACCCCAATAATGCAAAAATGAAGCAACACATCTAGGTCACGTGGTCAGGTGTCACACAAGCCACAGGGGACAGAGCCAGCATTTTAAGCTATCAAACTGAGCTTACTGCCGATAACAGCCCACACCCATATACTTTTCTTACTTGAGGGGTTTAAATCTTTGTTAAGCCATTTTCCACTACATTTAATTCTTTAACCAGTATTTAATTACAACCACCTCTACTAGTATAAACAGAGATTTGCAATACATACGTCCATTTGAAGAAAACAAAACAAAACAAAACAAAACAAAAAAAAAAAAATAAATAAATAAATAATAATAATAATAATAAATAAAAAAATAATAAACTAGAAGATATATTTACAAATTCTATTTTTTTTTATAACTCTGGTGACAGAAAGTGATAAATCTGGCTTTTTGTGTACTGAAACAGACATTTTCCGATTCATGCCTCGCAGATATGCATAGTTTTCATATTCAGTTATGAAGGTTTAAGTAACCAAATATTATTTAAAAATAACAATACTTTTGTATGATATTAGCACGTTTGTAATGCCAACAAAAATTACACTGCGTTAAAGGGGTATAACAGAATGCACCTTAATTTTACTAATGCATCTGTGTGCTCAACGTCAAGTATATTTATTAGTGCTTAGTAACAAAGATTTACCTTCCAAGAGAATGAAGTGTTGCCGTGTTTTGTGTATAACATTTAAATGTTCCCTGTCACCATATTGTCTTGCTAATCATGGACATAACTGAATTAAAGATTTTCAATTGCTAAAATATTACAAAAATACCTAAGAACTAAAAATAATGGCCCTCATTAAAAGATGTCACGAAGGTTTTTTCAATTTTTAAATGCCAGGCAACCCCGCGAAAGTAGCCACAAACTATTTATTGCATTTTTTAAAATAAACATCCAGGACATTTTCTGAGATGTTAGACAGCATATTTGCTTCTTAACAAGTTACACTTCTTAACAAGTTACAAACTTTCTACATTAGTAAAAATAAACTAGATCGATTGGAGAATGTGAGATGGTGCTGTGAGCGACAGTAACGAAGATTTTAAATGCAAACGGGTTAACCGTTTATGTTTTACTGTGTCAGAACTAGCTGATAAATCCAGTAATTAAATTTTCATTGATTAAAGTTGCTTGACTTACATAAATTCTAATTATACTACTCACATACTTTTGATAAAATAAAAAGTAAGATGGACCTACTCAATATTTATTTAGAATCTGTGAAAATCACGCAGTCAGATGATTTCATTTTAATAATTTGGTATTCAGGAAATCGAATGGAATACATACCAGTTTGAACCATTCATCAGAGTTCACAGTCTGAAAGTGACCCTGACAGTCAGTATTATGACAAATCTGAGGCTGACAGAGGGGATTTCTCCAAAATCCTACTTTGATAAAGAAATAATTATTTGGGCATGTTTTCTGAAGGATATGCTAAATTCAAGCCATTCTGATGGTCTGTCTGAAACCCTTTAACAACCACTTTTCTAGCAAGACAACAATGACATCACCTGAAGTAGCCCAGACACCCAAAGACGGATCAATCATCTCTTTCAGTGATTTTGATATTCCTGGGTACCGTAACTTTTAAATTCATAAGAAATTCTCCATCCTTCATTTCAGTAAGTTTAGTCTTAAAACTCTGTAGTCAGCAATTAAAAAGGTACAAAGAAGGAGGGATCTTTTTTCTGAAAAAGTGAATGTTTTTACTCCTTTATTTGACCCAACTTTAAAAAATGGCATAAAATCAAAGTTTGATTCAGAGGACTTTTCTGTCTAAAAGAGTGGTGGTTTCAAACTGCCATAACCCCCCTGCCTGTTAGCCTGAGGATACAACTTGATCAATATTCCTTAGGGTGTCCAATGATGAAGAATGTGGCTTGAAACCTGTCAACTATTACCAACAAGACTGAAAACTTATCAATGTTCTGTCAATTCTGTCCAATAATTGCTTGGCCTCATTCAATATTCCACAAAACCTTCCTCACTCCTACTAATTTGTTATGATTATAGTTATCGTTTGGTTGTCAGAAATGTCAACTTCAGCTATTTGATTGACAAACAGTTTCGAATGGCTGTGGCATTTGTGGCAGGTTACCAGGAAAAGTCCCATGAAAATAAAAGCATTACAGTTAAGTTTACACCACAGGTATCATTTTCGATATATAGCACTGTGGCCATTACCATTTCTGCAGCAATAACGGGGAAACTAACTGCCATAGACAAAAAGGAAAATGAAAGCAAATTGAATATACATGTGGAATGGTCATGTAAAATGGGGTGACTATCCCCATAATTTGATAGGGGAATACTAGTGCCATGGTAATAAAAAATCAAAAGTGTTGTGTATTATACCAGAACTGCATTTTGAGTGTAGCTTATGATTATGTAACGGTTTGTCCTCCAAGAGTTTTTGAGTATCATGCCACATTTACTAGCTGTCTCAAATCATTTTTGCAATATGAGTGTTGCGGTTTTTTAATGCTGAACAGGTACTGTTCCTATTATGAATAGTATTGCATCTAAGATTTGAATCGATCATGGCAGTTCCCTTGAAAAATTCCATTTTGTGAATGTTTTAGGCCGCATTCACATCAAGAAGAGCTGAGGCTCAATAAAGCCGAGACTTAAACATGGCGGACGTACATGAAAGGAAAATCGCCTAATCTTTTAATAGTCTCTCCGCCTCTCACACGCCTCCCCACGCGTCGTCCTTGCGGGGGTACAATCATTAAATCTCGGCCACATTCGCCCGGAAGCTACCTGAGAAAAATTAAGTGCGCATGCTCATTGGTCTTGGGTCAGCTGACATTATCTCCATAGATAGCCGATTCATTGCTGCTCTATGGGCCAATTCATAAATTCCTTTTTCATCTCTGTTTTGAAAGATAATAGAACAGAAGAACTTTTTTCCCACGACCGCCTCCAGGCACCATGCTTTCTTCACCTCGAGTTTAATTGATGAGCATGCGCACTTAATATTTCTCAGGTAGCTTCCGGGCGAATGGAGATTTAATGACTGTACCCCCGCAGGGACGACGCATGGGGAGGCGTGTGAGAGGCGGAGAGACTATTAAAAGATTAGGCAGTTTTCCTTTCATGTACGTCCGCCATATTTAGGTCTCGGTTTTGTTGAGCTTCGGCTCTTCTCGATGTGAATGCTGCCTTAGATCAGAATATGCAGGAAACACATGTGATGACACCCTAGCGGGACAGCCAACAAATCTGCACTCTGCAAATCAATAAGTTGCCAATTCTCACGAAAATGAAATTCATTTGAAAGCAATACATAAAAGACAAACAAAACAGGTGTGTAACAAGAGAAGCTGTTTTTATAGACCACAAAATATTCAGTAACCACAGAGAGAAGCTGATCGGAATGACTTTTCTAGTTGCCACTTTGTAATTGCATGTAACCTTTTTTCAGTTTTTTTTTCTGTACAAAAATTCCTTTGCTTTGTTGTATGCCTGAGTCATCGATGAACTATCAGCAAATTCTGTGGCTTTTTTTTATGTATTCATGAACCTCCAATTTTCAAAGACATCAAATCAAAGTTTTTTTAAAATATTCTCTTCATATTTTCTATGATAATTTTTTCCACAAACATTTCAAAATGAATTTCTCTGCAGCATTCAACCAGTTCATTTCACAGTCAACAATAACCTGTGGCAAGGAACTTAAAAAAACATCAGAAGATTATTAAAAGTTCTGCCTAAAACCCAACTAAATTGTGGGAAATCAATGATCAATACAAACTGAAAGTTGTCTACATGGCTATATATGGAATTGAATGGAAGCTTGCCTAAAACTGCACTATTGGCATTTGGCCACAGAAGCTTCTTTGAAAAGATGTTTTTTAAAGGAATTCTATTCTTATAATATGTATAAGTTGGCTTTTGCTGTTACAACAGCATCAAAACAAGCCTTAGTGGAAGAAATTAAGAAATTGCTTGAGATGAATTTTTTTATTAAAAATAATAAGATAATAAGAGAATAATTGACACTAAAAAAGTGTTTTCAAATCTTTTTTTTTCATATACTGTATAAATGTTTGTTTTGGATCAATCTTTCAGAAATTTGTTGCCATAGATCTTTAAAATTCATAATTGTTACAACTTATGCACCTTGAAACATGGCAATCTAAAAACTCTTTATAAAATGCTATTCAACCTAAAAACTTGATCCAAATAATTTCTCATTTCCCCCATTTTTTCCGCAATCTTACATCACATTTTCTGAAAAGATAAATCAGAGCAGCATTCACTGTATTATTGATACGTAGGGCCGAGTTGACAAAATTTAGGTAATCAATATATGTGTACTAACAATAGGCACATTTCCATTTGCTGAACCATAGAATTACAGATGCTTGGATTACATAGCTATGCAGAAGACATAAATACCAGCTGACAAAACCTCAAGAAATGTACAGAAATTACAAAAAGTGTTTTAGTTCACTATTCAATCTCCCCACTATGAGTTCTGATATGGGATCATGTCAAAATACCCCCTCCCCCTGAATCCAACACTACCAGGTCCCTGCATTGTTAGATTTCCAACCAATATGTAGTTTCTCCAATACTACAATTTTAGCCAAAGGAAATTAAATTTGTAAAAAAAAATCAGTTTTTTTCCAAAAATTAAATCATTTTATGACTGGGCAGTCAAAGGCCCATTTTTGTCTGTGATTGAAAAAGCTTAGGGGTCTACCAGTACATGGTTCTATCTGTAAAGGAAGCTATCATTGTGGTGAGGTACGTAGCTTTGTTGAGGGTGGGATCTGTCCACTTAGTGAAAGTTGCATAAAATACACACTGCTAGTCTCGTATGTTTCATCTGCGCTGTCATTGATAAATTGTACAATAATTAAATAAGCTTTTGCAGTTAATTGTCACATTATATGTGCTATTAAACAATGATAATATTTATAGCATTCATGACGCAGTTCAATTTAGGTAGGTAGTAGGAAAGAGAAAGGCAGCAGGTGCAACTGAAAAGAAGACACAATTTAAAATGACAGTGATACAAAACAACCATGCATACAATATGTGAAGTATATGAAGAAACAGTACTGGAAACTAAAAATAATGACAGACAATAATGAAAGACAGATAGGCAAACAGTGAAACGAAGAGAGTACATGATTAATTGAACTTAATATAATGCATTTTTCATGCTGTTACGCCCAACAATATGTCACATGCAAAATACACTGTCTTCACTCAAAAATGCCTTAAATACATAATGTATCAATTAAAATTTTAAGTAAATCTAATTCTATTTAGAAAGATCCACTTACTCCCAGTTATTCTTGGGTGGCGGCAGGTCCCCGATAGTGGTCAGTGTGAGTGTTGACCAGTACAAGGACTTGAGGTACATTCGAGTGACCGATGCATACTCTCCCTGGAGGGGTGGGTAGGACCAGTCATTAGCGGGGAAATTTTCTGATTTACTGATGAGGAAATAGAAAGCGGCAAACCAGTGAGACCCCAGCAGCAGGATATGGATTAGGTTCATCACCCTCCAGAAGTTAGGATAAATTGTCCGGGATTCTGCCATGTAATAGAATTGATACACTCTGTATACCTTGAAAAATCTAGGAAATCTCCACATTGGATGTATACCTGTAGTCAGCTGTAGAAGATCCAGAGGTGTCAGGGCAAGTATATCTATTTTAAAGTAATGTGATTTGACATAATGTAACGCAAGTTGCTTGGAGTCATACACTATCAGTCCTTGCTCCAGGTAACCAGTCCTAAACTGGAAGGCAATATCTGTTAGGTACATGAAATCCATGAAACCATCTAAAATAAACCATGCCAAAGGACTGCCTGTTTGTATGTCTGGGAAAGCCTCTCTGGCTATCAATGTCCATAAGTTATACAGAGCACATAGGGCCTGAACCCCAAGCCAGTAAAACATTGTATCACCATCAGGATTCACCACAAAAGTCCACTTTCTTTTGTTCTTTTTATTTTGTGTTTTACTCTGTCCTTCTTCCTCATCCTCATTTTCATCCGTTTCTCGCTGGCGAGTAGAAAAACGCTGAAGAAATGAGTCCTGTCGATTCATACCTGAAGATTTTCTCTTAAATTCTCTGCCCGCAGGACGTTGCACCTCATTGGTTGCCTTCAAAGTATTCTGGAGTTTCTTCCACCTTGCTGTGGGTCTTCCTCCACTTATTTCTTTCACCCTTTGATCTGTTTTTTCAATCAGATTTTCCTTTTCCATACCTGCTTTTGCCAACTCCTGCCTTCCCACCTGCAGAACATTATCCTGATTGCTGATGACTTGCGAATCTTCACTTTTTATCATTCCCTCTTCTTCGTCAGACTTAATTAGGTTCCCATTGTTGCTATTAGGAAGAGTACATGTCGTTTCATCACTCTCTGGGCTATTCAAAGCAGCTTTTAGCTCCTGATCTAACATCTGAACGTTCAAATCCTGGTAGTCATCCTGATCTAATTTAGAACTCATTATTGATGGTTGTGTCTCCCTTGTTCTCAAAGGAAGTTTTGTGTTATATTCATCTTGCACATTTCTACTTATGTGGGCATTTTCTACAGCTGCCACATTGACAGTATCACTCTCCTGCGGCTGTTGTGGTAACCACACTGGTGAAATAGACTGTTCCTCATCATTCATGCCACCCTCGGCCGCCACACTGACTTGAGTGCCTGTGACATTTACTTCCAGCTCAGGGGAGACCTCTTTTGTGTGGTACATATGTGAGTTGCTATCATGATTACCCAGCATCTCTAAGGACTCACTTGGCTTGCCCTTGTTACTATTAATTGGCTGCACAGTTCCAGGGGGACGATGCCTCTTTTTCTTTTTCCTTTTCCTTACTTCAGATTCACCATTCTCAGCCATAATTGCCACAGCTTCCATCCCTCAATAAACACAAGCTCTAATGAACCTGGAAACAGTATATGTACTAAGTAAGTGTCTCAATCAGTACATTTTCAAATTCAGTTAATCTCAAGATCGACTGATCAGTGTAGTAAGTGAGGTGTACATAACAATGTGGTTGTGTGGGGAGAGGTGCTGTCAAGCCACTTGAAAAACCTATTCAAAAGGCAGCTGTTAAGTAACCAAACAAAAACTGTGTGCTAAATAAATATCAATGGGAGGCGAAAGAGGGAGCACTTCACATCTTACCTGCCAAATGACCTGTGTCTTATTACATACTTGTTTGACCAATCATTTAGTGATAAGCCAATGTTTACTTGTCAATTATGTGGCCAAAACAAGGTATTAGCAAGCTTTTGTTATTTCAAGAAAATTTCTTCATACAAACTATAAATGAATTGTTTTTTTTTTCTTTTAGCCAGCTTCAACGAATTTTTGTTGAGACTAGAACAGTTATGTATCAGTTAATGTGGAGAGCCCCTTTATTAAAAGGCGAGGGAGAATAACTGATCATGTCAATAGGAGTAAGCTAAATGTCATCTGACAGATTATGCCTCATTGACTGAAAATTAATCATTATATACATAAGAGTATTGTCAGAGAACTGAGCTCTGTTCTTTTTTCGCTTCTCAATACTTGGTTATCAGATGCTTCAGATTCACAAACTGATGCAGCAGATAGAGAAATTTAATCTAAGAACAAAGGACAGTGGCGGAAATGTATATTAGGTGGCAAAGAGCTTACTTCACAAAGGCTCCAATTTCAAATTAAAGATGAGCAAATGTCGATTACCTGTTGACCTGGAAAACTCCATCCTGTTGACTTTGCGCAGCCTTGATCCACCTGATATTATCAGATATCCTTAGAAAATCACCATCACCACTTCTTTTTTTTACTTGACAACCAATATTTTAGCAGGATTGGATTTTGTAGAAGCCCTGAAAGTTGTGCAAATACACAGAAGTCTGATAACTCTCAATATTGATCTTTCTAAATCTTCTCTTGTCACACAACAGCTGACATTAATAAAAAATTAAAATTTAGGATAAGAAGTGTTACCATGGTTACAGCTGATGTCACCAGCTGAAAAGTTCCGAGTTTAAGAAAAAAATATGAGCATAATGAGTTTTCCTGAAAATTACCAAATCATATACTACAGTAGTAATATCTCATCTGAAAAAACACCGAGTAAATCCATGGACACGAAACTATTTTAGATGACAAGTTTGACTTCTAAAATCAACTCCTACAATTTCATGTTATAATTAACATTATCCCACTTTTTGCTTCAAAATTAGTGCCCTTAGATAAGCTGAAAAGCAGAACAATCTTCTGAAATAAATACGCAGTCCCAGGTAAAATTGCTGAAATTAAAAAAAAAATGTTTTGCTTTTCAACCATACAAACATACCTTTAATAAGTTTTCAACCAAAGCAGGATTAATTAAAAGTTGATGCATTTCTTTTAAGTATGAAGAATAAAAAACTTGCAATTACCACTTAACGCAAAATAACTTCTGAATAAACAACCAAATAGTTCTGATTTGAAAACTGTGAAGCAAAACAAACATTCTGGGTCTTGTGCACCCTCCCCCCAAGGAAAAAAATGCATCCTAGATTTTTCAGTAGATCAATGCTGTAAGAACCTACATGCATTTTATGTAGAATAATCAATTAAATGAAGAGAAAACCCCACTGTGTCTTTTCATTATTAAATACAAGTAAGAAAAGGTAATCTAAACTAGATAATTAACAGTGGGGGATGAGAAAACAGCTTCATCACAAAACAAGTCACACATTCATAAATCAATTGATTGAGTATTGTTATCATTTAATAAATCAGCACCTATAGTGATAAAACAATGGGAACTTGTCATTTTTTTTATTATTGGTCCTGGACTTGTCCCTGACACAGGTGCAGGCAGGAAAAGGGAAAACAAAACAAAATTTCTCTCAAAAATCTTTATTTTTTCATTATTATTATTTTTTTTATCTTTTTTTTTGCCTGCAGAACAGTTCCAACTCTCAGTTCCCCTTCATACTCCTTCAATCCAATGTACAATAAGCAGGCCTGGAGTCCTGTAACTAAGACAGATGAAAAACAAAACTTCTTTAATTCCCAGTGTGAAACAAATCAAGCCGTAGAAATCCTCGATTTCTTGAAGATAAAATGGAAAATAGCAACATGAAAGGAACATTTGATTAGACATTGATCAGCACAGTCCTGCAATCTCAGGAGGCCATTTCTCTGGTGGTTTACCAGGTTATCTGAACAATAAACATTCAGGGGATGGCAGAACAATTTCAAGCCAAACAAACAGCCCAGTACTTTGGTTGAGGAAAATAAAGTTTGGGACGCTGCACACTATTTCAACCGACCATGTGATTATCGTTTCTAACTATAATAGGAAATCAAATTGAATCTAATTCCCGTGATGTGCATCCTAATTCCGTGATGTGCATCGCCCACCTCCGTAATTGAAGAAAGTCGCATTCTGTTCCTGAGGTTCCTAATGGCTGGATACCATAATGACAGGGTCTAGAGAGATCTGAAGCTAAGCCATCATAGCTGATTGGAAACACAGTCCATCTCACAAGGTAGTTATCATGGTATGTATACTGAGGCCATCTATCCATATTCAGACAATTTCAATTTAGATAATGAGACTAAGATGTGAAATGCAGTGTATTACTAAGGAAAAAAGAACAATCAGAAAGCTAGTCTCAGTGATGTGTAAACTGTTCAGTACCCTTCTTTCTGCACAAAGTCATTATTTTTAAAAGTCCAAGTGCAGTTTTCACATTTCAAATAGTGAGAGTTGAGCAGAGTTAGGTACTGTCAAGATAATACCCCCATGTCTCTATTTCAGAATATATCAAATAAAATCTAATGGAAGACCGCTTTTTCAGGATACAAGTTATTATCAAGAGAGAATTAGAAAAAGCTGAAAGATCACTGAGGAAGATGAGCAACAGTGTTGGTTTTTAAGGAAAGTGTCTTGTCATTTCAGATTAAAGCAATTTCCTTTCTTCATCTTGTATGTTATCTCAGGCACCCATGGCATCAAAACTCAACACAGTATTTGATCTGGAGTTGCACCCACATCAACTTGAAAGCTTACCACATAAATCCTGCTGGGAATTTTTCAATGCTATTAGGTGGTTATGCAGCAAGCTTTCAAGTGGGCTAATCATATTTGATCTGCAGAACTACGTAAGTTCTTGGATCAACCTGTTCTGCATGCGCCTGTAAGTTCTATTTTATACATCTCTCATACTGATACTGCAGATCAGGTGTTTACTAGCACTACCCACAGATCTTTTAGCACTAACACCCATATTAACCACCTAACCCACAAATTATAACCAGCAACACCAGAGTGGATGATTGCTGCTGCTAGGTATTGCTTTGTTGGTGCTAGATAATTATATGATGTGCTGGTAATTTTGTGGGTTTGGTGGCTAATATGGGCATTTGTTGCAGGTAATCATAGTAAAGGCCTGATCCATGTATAAGGCCTGATACTGGTACTGATTACAAAACGTCTAAATTAATGGTATAGTGAATTAAAAACTCAATACAAAAGCATAAAGGTGCTTCCCATCGACATGCTTACACTTTTATTCTACCTTGATACATGACCTGTCAATGATATATATTAAAATATTAAAGGCCCATGCATTGATGCAAGCCACAACAAAACAGAATATTCATACTTGAAATAAACACTACTGGTACATTATGACTTAAATAGAATGGTCATAAGGGGAGACATGCACACATGAGCATACACATAGAAACATAGATATACAAAAACACATAGAGAGAGGAATGATAGATCCAAAAGTAAATCAAAATAAACAAGATTACTGTACTGCACTAATATTTACAACATAATACTGTGACAGACATGTATACACTATACCAGTATAAATAAATTGCAATGGAACAAAGCCAATTTAATAAACACAGAAAATATAAAAGTAACAGGAAAATAAAAAAAGAAATATGAGAAAGGATACTAAGGCTTCATTCACATGCAANAAGCCAGTGACTATAAGTTACTATAAGTAAATGGCTCGCGCTGCCAGTAATTACGCGGCGGGATATTCAGGGCACAGACCATGATCATAAGATACCGCGAATAGAAAATAGATTTTTAGAAAATAGACATTCCATGTGAATGAAGCCTAAGGTAATGACACATATGTGTCTCATTCTTTTTTTATCTTGACAGCCAGGCACAAATTATCTGAAAAAACATACTGTGGTGATAAGATTAAAAAATGGGATCAATTACAAGGTGATAATTTAAAAGTATTCAAAACACATAGTTCTCTATACTAAACTTACAAGGACTGTGTACAGAAGATGACCACTCATCTCTTCAGGGTGTTTTTACGGAAAACTGTTGTAACAAACACTATAGGTAATATATGTAACTGTTATAACCTATCTGCCTATACCTATTGTACCAGTTTTATCAAAAAAGTGACCATTGTCAAGTGTAATAGAATGATTGATACTACATGTATATAGTTTAAGACATTGAAAATAGAATAAAGTTTATTTTTCAAAAGTAAACACCAATTTGGTGAACTGAATCTTTTCAGATGTCTGTTGGCACTGAGAAGTCTCATACTAAACTGCAATTGAATAAAACCTAATATGAGACAAATGTGACCTACAAAAATCAGATTGAAGCTTAAATAGCATAATTCTCTGCCTATCATTAATTACAAATATCAAATTGTGCAACATATTGGATTTTTGATATAATTTGTGAACAATTTAATTCATTATACTAAATATCAAATTTATAAGAATCTTTCATTCTAAATTTCCCCTGAATTGATCATGTGCTATTGCCATCCACACCTACCTACCAACAGCAACAAATAAAATCAAACTGTAATCCTACCCTTTTGAAGGTACAGATACTGCTGTATACTTTATTGAGGGGTGTGTGACTGTTTGGCATGTAGCTAAGGTATTCAAAAACATTTTCATTCATCCCGTCTTTTTGCATTCATAAATGAACTCATGCAGCAAAAGACTCACATCACTACCTCTGAAACAGAATTGCTTTCTTTTCAAAGTTGAAAGAAAAACATCCAAAATACATGTAACAATGAATGTCATCATAGGAATATCAAATTTTAAAAAGAAAAAAAAAAGCCAAATGTTATAGAACAAATGAAAATAAATTGACATGAGGGTACATTGAAAAAATAACAAAAACATAGGTATCACAATATCTTGTGTACTGAAAGACCAAAAAATCTTTTCTGCTGAATATGCTGCTGTTATTACACACTAAATGTGAAGGCAAGGGATTTTTTGACAGCATACATGCAGAGAAGTGGTTGAAATAAATGAAGGTGCTGGTAAAATAATTAAATAGAATGAGGTTGTTAAAGAGACAGTCTCTAATTTTCTAGTCTCCTATGCCGCCATGAAATTAAATCTCATTTTTATCAGTCTCTTATTAATTAGACACATGAAATATGTGATAATAGGATGCCACATTCAATAGTTAATCACATAATGGTGGTCAATACCTAATCCACTACTTACTGTCTACAGGTGCCACCCAAGGGAGATTTTTATTTGATGACTTATTAATCAGGCTTTTAATCTAAACTTCTGACCTTCCCTTCAGATTATGCATTCATTTCTGATTTCTGTGGTGAACACACTGTGAACAAGAGGAGGAAGTTAGCATTACACAAGAGTGGAATGAAGAGCAAAAAGAACTTATTCTGAGGAAGTGGAGGAATGCAGATCATCTGAGATGAGGCTGTCGGCACTTCACTGCATCATTTGAGGCTAATTAACAAGGGAGAATGCCCTTGAGGTATGAATAACTTTTAGTGATAACAGTGAAATTCTCTGCATCAGGAATGTGACTGCCCAAAAAATTTCTTTTATAAACTGT